CGCACCATCAGACGGCACTGCCTCCTGCCACAGGTTGGCGGCGGAATCGTAGCGCCGCACAGCGAGGCGGGAGGACAGCAGCGCCCACAGGCTGCGGTCTGCTGCCTGCACCACGCCATCCACGATGCCGGCCTGCACGGCAGGCAGCCCCAGAACCGAGAGAGGATCCGCTTTCGAGGCCAGCACAGCACCTGTGCCCACGCACACAACAGCGCAGTCTCTGCATCGGCTCGACAAGCACCGGCGGCAGCGCCAGCAGCGGCGGGAGCCAGGGGCAGCCTTACGGGCATGTCGGGAGGGCTGAGGTCGAGGTCGACGAGGCCCGGCCCCTGCCGCAGCTCGCGCCGCCGCTGCTGCAGGCGCCGGCGCAGGGCTGCTGTGGCCGAGGCGGCGCTGGAGTTGTAGGGGCCGGCAATCATGATCCAGGCGCCTCCGTTGCAGAAGAAAGCCTCCTCGCAGGCATTGATCACATACCCCGTGCCGTTGATAGCCCCAGCAATCACCTGTGGCACGGCGGTGGTGGTGGTGGTGGTGGTGGCAATGGTGGTGGACGTGAGATAGATGGGGGATGCTGGGGCAAGCGTCTGTCAGTGAGCGGGCAGCGACAGCACACACACACACACGGCCCCAGCCAGGCCGCCCTTGGACTAACCTTAACGCCCGCCATGCCTACAGCCTGCAGCCAGCCGCCGGTGGGCCCCAGAAAGTAGACAGCGCCGCCACAGGATGACAGGCTGGTGGCGCCGCTGCCACCTGTGGAGCAGCAGGAGGAGAAAGGCAGGGCAGGACCCCGCTTTGCCAGCAACACAGCAGCACGAACTCAAAGGCCCTGCAGAGCTGCGCCACACATCAATGCACATGCTCGTGCGCCAACCGCTCAATGCTGCATGCTCCCTGCCGGTCTTACCTTGGCCGCACATGCCAGTGCCGCACGGCTCCTGGTTGGGCGCCACACGCCACAGGCCGCCCTCAGAGCCCACGCCCATGAGCTTGGCGCCACCTGCAAGGGGCAGCACAGGCAGCGTTTCGCACAATGTGGTCGGGGTGGTGCCTTGCGGTTTGCATTCCACTGTCCTGTTTGGAGCTTGTGGGAACGCAGCAATGACCGTAGTAGTCCAGATCAGCCCAGCAATCACACGGTTTTCTGCTGCTGCCACTGCCGGTAGGGGCGGTGGGCCGGTCTCAGAGAGACGGCTACATGCCACCTCGCTCACCCAGAGCGGTCTGGGGCGTCCAGGTGCCAGGCTGGTAGATGGGTTCATTCATTCATGCAGCACACAGACCGGCCGCCTCTTGCTCGAGGGCGGCCCACTTTGGCCTGGGCAGCCCGGGCCGCCCTCCCCCCCGGGCGCATGTTCGGTGTTGGAGGGGTGCGCCCAGCGATAGGGGGCCCCTGAAGGCATGCGCCGAGGCCGGGAAGCGTGGTTCGGCGCTGCTGCACGCTTGGCGACTTGAACAGAACCGCGTGCCGCCGAGCTGCGGCCGCAGTTTCCGGCCCACAGTCTACGGCCGCAGCCACGGGACTCGGCGGCACGGCGTTTGGGCCCAAGCTTGCTGCCGCCGCCGCCGTGCCCGGGGGGCAGCGCGGCGGCGGCGTCNGCACGCTGCGACGCCCCCGAGCCACCGAGCTGCGGCCGTAGCTTCCTGCCAGAAGCCCACGGCCACAGCCACGGGACTCGGCGGCACGGCGTTTGGGTCCACGGCTTGCTGCCGCTGCCGCCG